ATCCATGAGAGAAGGTGTGCGTGACTCCGAGGGAGGGCCTTTAGCTTTTATTTTTGTGCCGTCAGTCTGACTCCCTTTTGTCTCATAGTTTTCAGACAGGTCATTCAGGAAATCTTCTGCTAGAGCAAGCAGGTGAGAAACCTTTCCTTCTGTCTCAGATTCCTTAAGAATATCTCTAATAACTCCATAAAAACTAAAGAAGGAATCTGGGATCTCCTCTCCCTTTTTGAGGAGACCATTAATATCCTTTCCCACTTTATTCCAACTTAGTGGATGAATGCCAGGCCCATGAATCACCAGCCAAGGACATTTCTCCTCCACAAAACAAACAAACAAACAAAAAAATTAAAGAGATCCTTTTTCTTAACTCTACTTCCTCTCTCCCTAAGACTACTCTTTATTTCTCTGATAAAGAGGGCCTCCTTAGAGGCTGAATTGCCCATGATGATAATGGGACAGCAGTACTTACCTCGAGACAGACCGGTGCACGAGCGATGCAGGGCGTCTCCATTTTGGGTCGGATAGCCTCTTCTTCTCTTGGCGCTGTCCGGAGACCACCGTATCTCGAGCCTCACGTTTGGGCGCCACTTGACCCGTCCAGCAGGCCAGGTTATTCGCGGGTCTCGAGGGGGTTGTCACCTAAAGGGGTCATGAGGGCGAGAGAGGAGGGAGACCAAGCGGCGCAAGAAAGGACAAGAGTCCGTCTGTGCAATGTCAAGGTCTCGATTTACTGGGGTTTAGAGTGGGCTTAAATAGCCCTGCAACAATAGAATTGGGGGGAATAATAGAAGGAACATCAGGTATTTGCTGGGACTGGAACATTCTTCTTGTCAGCCGGAACATCTAGTGGTCTTTCTTGGAACAGCGAACAGAAAAGCTCCAGACCCTTTCTCGGAACAGAAGCAGTTAGCAGTTCCGCTTGGCCAAACCATATCTAATTACAGGTTACAGGAGGCTCACAGAGCTGGCTTTAAGCCGCAAACTTACAGGTCATTAAAAGTCTTACAAAGGTGGGCTTTAAGCCGCATAGTTTTGGGCCCACGGCCCCTTACATTGGGGCTCCTTGGGATCCTGAGGCCCTTAGGGGTCTGGGGGGTCTTTCAAACCAAGTGTGTTTGTTGAAGTTGAGTATAAATGTAGAAGGCATAGATTTCATTATCATATAAAAGAGTAGTTTGGTTGTTGGTCATTATCAATTATGCTCGCTAATTTTATGTCTACTTACACAAGGTATAATCATCAGAGAGGATGAGTGTAGTTGGAATCTTTTGGTGTTTGTGTGTTTGTTTGATGTGTCAGCCTTGCTTCAGTCCATCAACCATTTATGAGGTTGTGGCTCAGTTGCTACTGTTGGTTAAGTATTGGCCTAGCATGCAGACAGCCCTGGGTTGAGTCCCAATCACTGCATGGATGTGATTACACATGTCTATAATTTCAGCACTCTGGAGATGAAGGAAGGAGGCAACTGTGTCATAGTTCAAACCCATTCTCAGAATCAAAATGAGTTCAAGGATAGAAAAGGTATACAGGAGAGGCAGATCTATCGCTGTGAGTTCCAGGTTGGCCTGGTCTCCCGGGCAAGTTCCAGGACAGGTAAGGGAACCCTGTCTCAAAAAACCAACCAAACAAACACACCCCCAAGAACCCACCTTGCCCCAGTGCCCCCCCTAAAAAAAGAAAAAAAATATGAAATTAGAAGTCATTACAGGACAGATGCTATTTAGGGCCTAGGTGGATAAAAATTCTCCAAGGGACTGATTTGAAACAGTAACAGTCTGGGTCTGACAGTTCCAAAGGCACTGAGTGTCAGAACTCAGCAAATGCTGGCATTGCTAAGAAGACAGTGCCAAACACTAAGATATGTCTCTAAATCTAAAGGGCCCAAAGGGCCAGAAATCCATGTAAAATGTTTACAGGTCCTTTTGGGGGTGAGCCACCCAGAGCTGATTATTTAATTGCTAGAAGGAAACAATCAGCTCTTAGTCCTTCAGTTGTATCTCATTCTTGTTACAGTACTTACTCCTTTTCTGCGAGCAGCACCAAAGACATTTATCACCAGGAAGGAATCCTTTTATGCTATACAAGAAAAGCAATGATAGTTTTTGCTCTCTAATTTTACGTAGCAATTTAAGGTTAATAGCCCCCTAAAGTCAATCAATAACCAGGTTAAATCGTTATTTTTTTCCATTATTTTTTTAAATGTAACAGTTACTATATACTTTGCAAGGTTGCTTTCAGCGATGAAGAAATCGGTAAAATACCACATAAAGCAGGCACTGGTGTTGCGGGAGATGATGGGAGCAGGACACAAATAATTTATGATCTTTTGTGTGTTATCTGAAACACTCCTTTCACGGAAGCACAGGCATACGGCTGCACGGCGAATAGGGGAGTCCAGCGGTAAAGAAAAAAAAAAAAAAAAAAAAAAAAAAAAAAAGAAAGAAAGAAAAAAGAAAGGAAAAAAAAAAAAAAGCCACCAAAGCGACAAGTTCTTGACATCTATTGTGGTGTCAAAACTTGAGCACTCCATAGAAGTGTTAGACATAAATACACTATCACTCCAAACTATGCAACTATGCTGACAGAGACTAGGGCCCTTGATTGGGTTCGTTTTCTCTGCTAACTAAAGAATTCAAAGGCAGGAAAAATTCCTAGGTAGCAGTGGCAGCGTTAAACAGCAGCAGCCGCCAGAAACCAAAAGCTAAGAGAGGTATTTATCCGGGGTGAGGAAAAACACGCTTGCAACTGACACACCCGGGAGAAAGCAGATCCTGCGCGGACACCGGGAAGCCGGGAAAAGCCAGTTCCTTTCCCGACAGTTGCGCTTATCTTCCTCACCTAATTTAGAGCTGGTCAGTGTCAAGATGGGACGACTGATTGACCCAACTGTTGGGTAACGTATCTGATAGGGCCTCTTTAAAAAAACTAAAACACCAAAAAAAAAAAACAAAACAAAACAAAAACCAAAGCTAGATAGCCCAGGCGGCCAGCAGGGGGCGCACTGGTAGAGTGGAAAAGGACCCACGGCTCGCCTGAGGCAAGGAGCTTTTGCTATAAAGGAGGCCCTCCCGCCTTTTTTACGGTAGCAATGGCCCACCAGGGACCCCTACACGGGCTGCATTTGGTACCCAAAGCCAACTGGGTACCTCACACTGAACGCACAGAAGTTAGACAAAGACGTGAACACAGGAGACGCACACGAGCTAAACAATAAGGCTGGATGTTTCTTTCTTCTCTCGGGACCCTCCTGTTGCCCACCCCACCAACAGGAGACCCTGTGAATGAAGGATCCAGTACGTAGCCGACCGAACCACGTAAGCCCCAAATCCTGGAAAGAGCGGAACTTGCCAGGATGCTACAGCCCTTTAAGAGAGTCGAGTGGGTGGCCCTGAAAAGGGCCTTTAAGAGAATAAAGCTGGGAGGTTGGTTGAGCAGCTCAGCCGCCGAAGCCGTAGAGCGTGCGGCCCTGGCGCTTGAGCGCGTAGACCACGTCCATGGCGGTGACGGTCTTGCGCTTGGCGTGCTCCGTGTAGGTGACCGCGTCGCGGATCACGTTCTCCAGGAACACCTTCAGCACCCCGCGGGTCTCCTCGTAGATGAGGCCGGAGATGCGCTTGACTCCGCCACGGCGGGCCAGGCGGCGGATGGCGGGCTTGGTGATGCCCTGGATGTTGTCGCGGAGAACCTTGCGGTGGCGCTTGGCGCCGCCCTTGCCAAGGCCTTTCCCGCCCTTGCCGCGACCAGACATGGCTAGACAGAAGGAAGAAATCCGACTGACAGCATTTCCCAGCCAGCAGTTCGCCCTTATAGGGAACTCGCGGACCGGAGTGAAAACAGGAAGCGCAGTGGCGGGAAGGGCCTGTGGCTTGTGGAGGGGGAGGGGCCCTCGGCGCCAATTTAACACTACAGATTATAAGTGGAGAGGACGCTGATTTCA